TTTCCTGGAGAAATCTGGGCGTGCTATCCGCCACTTATACCCTTGATGGGTCCTCGCTTTCGGAGTCGTATGCTGTGACGATGAGCTCTCCGGAATACATTAATAACATCGGCGATGCTCCAAATTTCCTTTATTATGCGGCTGATTCATTGTCTGTCGGGGACCATACTCTCGTCATCGATATAACGAGGTGTAGCAATCAAACTTTTGCACTCGATTACATTACATACGCGTCATCCTCCAACGTCCCTGTTCGCCTGGGTCCTTCCTCGTCTTCTAACGCGGGCCCCTCTTCCACCGCCACTCACAACACGGATCCAGTACCCACTGTAAAGTCACCGGGAGCTCAATCGCGTAAAAAGCTACCAGTAGAGGGCATACTAGCAGGCGGAGTAGGAGGGTTGGTGCTTCTTGCGCTATTGATCTTTCTAATAGTTTTTTTCCGTCGGCGACGATCCAAATATCGGCATGGCAGGCAGCGCCTCGGAAGCGACTACTGTACGTCTTGGAGACATGAGATCATGTTCATTCTTTACTGAATAAATATTCTAGATGACGCATCTAGGCCACTTATGTCTGAACAACACAGTGGGTTGAGGACGCTCTACCTTCGTGGCACATCGATGGACAGCCAACGGACACATAGGCTAAATCTTTCTTCGACGCCAAATACTGCGCTTCAACCTTCTGACCCTCCTGCTGAGACCCCTGAAAACTCTGCGAGGACTATAGAATCATTCTTCCCAGCACAGGTTGTTTCGCCAATGGACGACCCTGTGATCTTCGACGAACCCAGAAATATTCTTCCTATTCGGCAACCAAGTAATCATATCGTTATACGACCAGTTGCTCCTAGAGGCCCCCCACTTGTCATTCCATCCGCCAATCCATCCTCTGATCGACGATTAACCCCAGTCAGGAGGCAACCGAGCATCGTAACCGCAAACCTGTCACCGTACTCTTCTCCATACACACCATCCTCTCAACCAATGTCAGCCATATCTCCTTCGCGTACAATTGCTACTCGCACAGCGACCAGCCCTCTAATACAGCTCGACATTGAAGCGCCTGCACCAGTGCGGCACTCAACTTCAACCAGCAGCGTCCGACACGGCCTCGTCGCTCCCGCAATGAGTCTTGATGTTGCTCGCAGAAACAGATCAGCCAGTGACAGTATGGTGCAAGTAAATAAGACGGGAGTCATAGGACCTCGAACCCCAATTCGTCGTGGATATTCTGATTCACCTATTCACAACAACGTGCGGACTGGGTCTCAGGCATCCCTGCAACCACAACTAGCAAGAAAGCCCCTGTTAACTCCAGTTCCAGACATCGAGTCCCTGCTGGGAGATAGCCGGCGACATAGTCATATCATCCCACTTTCAGCTCAACTTGACCAGGCGTTGGCTGACCTTCTTTCCCCTGGTCCTGACAGCGCCGATTCTGACTGGATGAGGCGGCGGTTATCGGAGAGTGACATGGATAGTCCCAGACCCCTTTCTGCACACAGCCCGCTGTCGGAACTACAACACCGTTTGACACCTATTCGCAGGCCTTCCGACCAAGAAAACCCACCGCTGCTGACAGGTCATGTTACAGCCGCGTTCATCTCACCCTCCCCCATTAGGGCCAGATGGGCGTCAATTCTAAATCGGGCATCACGACCGTTGCCTTCAGGTATTCCTGATGATGTGAATGGTTCTGGCGAGGGAGACGATTTCTTGTCAGATGAAGGACCCCCTGCTTATCATACACTTTCTGCTCGACAAAGCGGCTCGTCACAGCCGATGCGTAGTCCGAGACTCCGCATTTGAATCTGTCTTTTTTCATTGTCTGTTCTTATTGTGTTCCACAAGCTTTTTGGACTCGATTATCTGATTTACCTATTCACTCTCTTGGTAGTATTGTAGCGACGGACTTCATTGAAAAACATTGTCGTTAATTGAAAAGACATTTGTATGTACATGTACCTTGTAATAGCTCGAAACCCAGTCAAGAGGCACACCAAAAATTGTGGTGTAGAAACGCTTCTTTAATCCACGATACAATATTCGTCGGTGCTTATAAGTTATGTGTAACTCTATGCTCCAGAGAGTCACATAATCTCCGCGTTATGGAATTCGTTGGAGTTGTGGGGTCGAACTTGGATGAGGAACTCCCTAATCAGGAATGACGTCGACGGAGCGCACTCTGTCGGTCGCCATTATAATAACCACGATCTCCTTCAATTCTATATCTTAATTCACCCACAACACAAAGAATGTCGCCACAAGAACGATTTAAGAATATTGGCAAGAGGGGAACCCCAATGGTACGTCCTCATTGCACTTGGCATTGATAGTGGTATTTCCGATTGTTGTTGTTGACTCTTTTGGATTCTATCAAGGCTACGGCTATGGGTGTCAGTATAGTGGGCCTTCTAGGGGGCATGTGGCTTATGGGGAGGGATGTTAAGCAGAAGGAGGGACAAGTCTCAGCTCACGGTAAGTGCTACGTGAATATTTTGCTTACTTACACTCATGACTTCTTCAGGATCGGCATCATCTTCCGATGTGGACAACAAGGCGATGAGCTCAAAGGAAGTCAGCGATACTATTGTTGTACCAAAGCCCGGTACAGACCGCCTGAGCAGTACGGCAGCAAGGAAAGTGGCGACCTAGTCTGATCAATTCGCATTAATATATACTAAGAAGCCAGTTAATGATACATGTATATCACAAGAGATTTATTCCGAAATCAAGACTCGGATAGCAGGTTTGAAGCTAGTGAGGGAGTTGCACTGGCAATTGTCGTGCATCGGATGGTGTGGCAACATATGTATGTGCAACACGCCTGCCAGGTAAGGGTCTCAATGCATCATCGCATACCGGAAAAATGGCGGTAGTGAGCTCAATGTATACACGACTTGAGTGTGCATAGCTGTTGTTGTACATGTGCGATACCTGGTGGGTCATGACACCAGGAGCTTTAGTAACTATGGTGCTTTACAAGTTGCATCATGATCATGGTGCTACACCGTACAGTGATCAAATGGTGATGTACAACAAGGAAGGTTGCTCCATGATGGGATATGCTGACCGCAAAGTTTGCTGGCACTCCCTCCCTGTTGATGACATGAATGCAATTTTGATGTGTCTGATGGGCTTGGAGATGAACCGAGTTGTTGAGTTTATATTTGGAACATGAAGATCGGAACATAGTCGCATTTTTGAACAATAACACCTCAATTTAACTTTTGAATAATTATCCGTGTTTATGGCATATTTTTTTTACTACCGTTTAGCTGGTTGCCCGCTGAGAAGCACTGATATCGACATTCAAAACGGCGCAATCATATTAAGCGCGCGACACTTTCCCGCGCTCAAGAACCAGCAGAATCTGGTCTGCAACGACTTATTATAATAATCTGTTTATTACATGACCAGTGACAGCCAACATTGGCTTAATATATCCACTTTTGATGGGTCTTCGTACACTATTGTCATCGGGGAGCCAGACTCGAAGAAATCGGGAGGTATCCAAAACGTGAAACCTTCAAGCAAAAGCAGTACAAAGGAGTCATTCTCGTCGTTGTAGTTAGGATCAAAATGGGGGTAATATACCGATTAGACCGCCAGACAAGCAATATTCTCTCGGTATTCACGGTCTCGCGATGCTCCTGACCAGAACGGCTCTCATTGCCCGCCTGGGAATATCACCCGAGTCGCAAGCTAACGATGAGCGCCAATGGCCAGGTCGGTGAGTATCAGGTTGATAGAAATCTCCACCGCAGTATTTCATCTGATGGATTGAGTACAATCAGTTTCCATTTGACTCTCGCAACTGCGCCTCGTTGCTCGACAGGCTTCTCGAGTACATGTGACATTGACCCTTCTTCTATCCTTCCCATAGTGCTTACAACATCACAACTTCCGAAAAGGAGCCCTTTTCCACGCGAAAACGCTATAAAGGACGTTGGGATCTTGGAGATTCTCAGTCAAGCACCATCGGTACTTACTACTTCGATTCTTTCGACGTACCCATTTACAAGATACACACGACAATGTTCAATCTCTCCAAGCTCGCTGTTCTTCTTGCCACCACCAGCTCAGTCATTGGTGCTACTGTCTCGAAGCGTCAGACACCTCCACCTTTGACGACCTGCGAGATTGTCTTTCTGCCCGACGTCCCAGTCGATCCCTCCGTCACGCCCGTCAACACTGAATTTAATTTCAGTATGTCCCTCCACTGATTCAATACCGTTACTCTACTAATCTTCGAATTTACAGTCCTTGGGTTCTACTTGGCCAACGTTGCCGGCGGCCCGATCTTTGTGCGTATTCAACCTTTGATTCTCATTGAATGCAGATGCACTGAGAAACGATGTTTATCTCCGGACACAGAACTCCGGATCTACCTCCGTTGAGAACCCCGACGATGTGTTTACCGCAACGGACAGTTTAGGTGTCTACGGCTGGACTGCAGCTCAGACCTCCACAGCTCTTGCTGCTCTGGTCGGTCAAACCAAGTCCAGTATTGGAAGCTCCATCAACTGGACCATCGACTCTGTGAAGTGCGATGCATAGATCCCGAAAACAAGCATTTTCCAGGTGTTGCTGCACCAGTAATATTCGACGGGGAACCAAGAATCCTATCGAAACCCTAACGTGTAAAAGAAAGAAAATGGAGAAAACAGAAGGGAGTTGTTAGAATGATGCGCTAGTTGTATATCTATATTGGACGACTCAGTTGCAATTGCATACAATCTAAATATAGAGGTTTGAAGTCGTTGCCAAGTTGTCGCACCATGAATCCGTAAGGCAGAGGTGAAGTGGGTATGCGTTTCGAAGTTCTGCTATTTTATGGATTTCCAGCACACCGAAGATCACGATTGTGTGGTCCCGAGAGTAGCCTTGGGATTCGAGCCATTTTAGGGTCTCAAGTTGACATCTTATCACCAAGCTCCTGCCTCATCAAACATTCAAGCGCCCATATACGCGCCACAACACCGTTAAAGCGCGTGCCCCATAGCCACAGCCCAGCTGGTTAAGGCGTTCGACTGTTGGCAAGGATCATCCAACCAAACTTCGAGTTGATTGGTGAGATGAGAAGTACTATCGGGAGATCAAGAGTTCGATCCTTTCTGGGGCAGATTATTTTGCCAAAACCCCCCGCACGAATGAATAGGTTACGCAGAAGAAAATCTACGGCTGGGGCTTAGCGCTGACCTCGAGGAGGGCTCCTTTTTGTCGGAATGTTACAGTATAATAACACAAAAAGCTCCCTTGGTAACGGGCTATCGGTCCCAACACAATCGTTCTGGGATTAAAGCAAAAAAAAGAGCAACTACCCCAGAGAGGATCGATAGTACTTCGCATCTTACCAATCAACTCGAACTGCGTTGGATGATTCTTGCCAACAGTCGGACGCCTTAACCAGCAGGGCCACGGGACATGTGCATGGGTTCCAAGCAAGTCACCTCATGAAACAGCGAACCGAGCATCTCACATTTGAAGGACTCTATACTAAGAGTTATACGTGCGCTATAAGAAAGGCCTAGGAGTGAAAGAAAGAAATAGAGAAGACGAGGTGGACGGGAACAGGATACGAAGGAACCAGGGGAGGAGGCGAAAGGGAAGAGAGATGATTAACGACTTCGGTGTGACTCGAGTTCGTTAGGTTGCAAAGGTTTAGCGTATCGAGTTGCCAGTGGTGTCGCGGGAACAATTAGGTACTTAGTATTAGGTCAAACGAGCCTGTAATTATGCATAGCTCTGCGTATATCTATTTTGCAACGACATTCGCAAGATATTCGTTCATTATGTGTCAGGAACGAGTCGATATCCGAGTCTGTTATGTAGCGCTCGGCGTTCAGACGATGTCACGCTATTTCATCCTTTTAAGGTTCTGCGATTATTCATTGGGATGAGAGTTGAGCTCCTCTATCTTTACCGATGCACCTTCTACTTCACCTATGTATGCTATACCAGCTTCAAAATAATAGCAATTTGATACTAATGTGTGTAATGAACGGCTCACGACATGCGCTGCTGTTCATAAATCTATTCACCCACCCTCGTTCAGTACAAAGCCAATTGATTCGACAGCGTATGTAAAGGAAAATAGGAAAAGTGTTTGATGGTGGGAGGCAAATAAGAGAAAAGACGGCCAGGTGAATAGTTCAGAACAGGGAAACCCTATTCGAAGTCTCGACGTTTTGTGTGTGATTGCTTGGGGTGTATACTTCTAGTTCTGTCCATCGTCGGACAACAAAAATACCTGCCCCAGAGAGGATCGAACTCTCGATCTCCCGATAGTGCTGAACACGTCGCCAATCAACTCTTAAGTTGGATGTGAAAGAATCTTAACAGTCGGACGCCTTAACCAGCTGGGCCATGGGGCATGTGAAATTTACCTATGAACACGCTTTCAAGGTCCGGGTCAAACTCACAGATTGCTGGTCCGAAATCCTGCAGGGTATGCACTGCGAATCCACACCAGCTACCATTAACTCGGGTCTTCAATCTTACATACAGTGTCACTGTGGAGTTGCTCAGCCAGTTGCCTACAGGGTGTGAAACATCAGTTCCTTGATGATGATGAATGAAGATAGCTAAAACTACTAAGTAAAAAGGAAAAAAAGATGTCGTTACTCAACGAACACAAAGTCCTACAAGAGAAAAAAGTCCTAACAACCAATTTCTGCGCGCGAGGGGTAGAAAGGGAAGAGAATTCAAGACCTCATAATGACGAATAATTGGCATAGGTAATGTTGAAGTCATAGAACATGGATGGATGGGAAAAAAGAGAACTATATGACTAACTTGAAAAAAGACCCAACGCCAGAAGAAGGAATGGGAGGAGGGAAAAAATAAGTGGTACGGATGAACCAGTCATCCAACATCCAGATCAAGCTCAACCCTGCATAGAGGGCAAGTCTTGCTCCTAGCAAGCCAACGTTCAAGACAAGTCTCATGAAACGAGTGTCGACAGACAGACGTCAAACCAGCTCGATCTCCGTCTTTGAACTGAAACAAGCAGATACCACATTTATTGACGGCCACGTCAAGCAACCTCAACTTGAGTTTCACGCGTCCATCGTCAAGAACTCGTCTCCGAGCGACTTCAATACGCCCTATGAGGGATATGTTGTCGCTGGTACTGCCGCTGGGCCTCGGGGAGGTAGATGTTGCTTGCTGCTGCCCGTGGGTGAGAGGAGGATTCGCGGGACCAATAATTTCGGAGAGAAGGAGCAGCGTCTACATAGCGATTTGAATTGAAGCCTGGCTCGCTCCATGTATTGTGACCACGACCTGATGAACTTACTTCGTAATCTGAGCCGCTATTATTGTCTTGCGAGAGCTGTGAAACGAGGAGGTCCAGCTGAGTGAGATCCGAATAGCCATTGGACGGTGAAGCAGCAGGAGGACGAGGTGACCCAGGATAATTCGATGGAGGGGGGAATGATTGCATATTTGATATCTGGACAGATGAATGATCGTTGGGCGACTCAATCAACCGGTCAAAGGAAGGTGTTCTAGATATCATCGTAGGCAGTTGTGTTTGGGATCTGGAGCGAGGATCGTCCAGGCGCGGTGTGGTCGTACCACTCGGTGGGTAATTATCGAAGGTGTTGTCGTCCAAGTCAATCAGGAGGCCTTCCGGAATATTATTCTGTCCCCAACTTAAGCTCGGCCCATCAGCACCCAAACTAGGACTTGATGTTGGTGGTGGACGAGGTAGAGGTCGACCGTAGTGGTGACGAGTGGGAGTCATAGGCTCATCTGAACTGCTCGACTTCGATGAAACTATGCCTCGTAAATTAGGGGATGGTGGAACAGGGGCAGCATGCGTACTGCAGACGTTGTGGCACGAGCACGATGACTCAGCGACGACGGGGTTTGAATCGGTCAGTAAATCCAAAGGAATGTTCTTGAGCTTCGGCGTCGGAGTTAAGACTGGGATGTTAGCCAGAGGATCGGCATGATCGGCAGCATGAGGTTGGCTTGAGTTCAGCTCAGCTAGTCCCAGATCGAAGTGCTTCCTTTCAGGACTCTCAGGAAGAGGAGTATGGAGGGCCTTGTGATAGGTAGCGATGGCCGGTCCGCTCTGATCAATGAGCAGGTTGGGCTTCGACTCGACCCGGATAGGTGCTAGATAGATAATACGTGTGCCAGCTTGCACGGCAACAGTCTGAACAGGAGCGCCTGCGATCAAGGTGGCATTGACGGGATTAATGGGGAACATGGTTGGGATTGGAGTGTGCTCAGGGGTTGGGTAAATGATGCTAGTGACCGTATCTGATAGTTCTGGACATGTTCGAACGGAAGGGGTCGTGGGGGTGGAAATGGACTTCTGTTTTTCGATGTGAGGCTCCAAGTTCTCCGAAATCGAGGACATGCCCTCTGTTTGTTCGCTCTTATACCTCCTCGGCGGGGAGTGCCCTTTGGACTTGCTGGATGGTAATGATAGTGTGTCCTGTGATAGCGAGCTGAGATTATGACGTGAGCGATTAAGGACTTTGAGAGGATGCCCGAAGGAGAAGCTCAAGCTCCGAGTCGGAGACGCTGTTTCCTTGACATGATCGGTGCCGGACAGGATCTTATTCGTCAGAGACCGACGAATGGGTTTTCCGTCCGTATCGACACCATCACAGTCCTTTCCATCCAGCACTTCCCAAGCATCCAAACGGTCTTTGCCTTTAGAGGGGAATATTTTTCGGGAACGGGAAGAGTCGTTCTTCGGAGGAGACGATGAAGGGAGTTTGAGGAAGGATGGTGCGGCAAGGGAAGATGAACTGCGGAAAAAGGTGGATTTGGAAGCAGAGTATAGTGTCTGAGGTGAACCAGGCTGAGCAGTCATTGCACGTTCCTGATGAGCAGGCGAGCGAGGTGGGAAGAATGTTCTTAGTGGAGAAAGGGATAAGAAACGCTTTTTCGGAGTCTGAGGGGAAAACTGTAGGTCGTCCTCTGTCACAGCCTCGGGATCGATATCTATTTTCACTGAGGGCTTAGCTTTAATCGTGCGCCCGCGGCTCAGCTTCTGGGCGTCTTGCAGGCTGTCGGTCGATTTGTGAAGGTTGTCCTCATTCAGAGGAGGAAATCCCGGAAAATCAACTCCGCGACGCTTGCGCCAGTCCAGCTGGATTTTGGTCGTCAGTTGACGACCTGATGGTAGATCCGTTGAGGAGATGGGGATTGTCCTAGAGTCGATAATCGAGATATCATCGTCGAGATCAGAACCATCTAGAGAGCTCGTTCCTTCCCGTGAGGATGACGAGACCGCAGCTCGCTCCACAGAATCCTCCACCGTCTCCTGCTGAGGTTCTGGCACCTCTTGAATGGTGTCTGGGACTTGTCGACTGGATTCAGGGATGTTCGTGGGGACTGGAGTGGGAGAAACCAAAGACACCACACTCGAGGCAACAGACGAAGGCAATGTCATGATAGCCTCTTGGAACGAGGGCGGTGGGTAATCTGGAATACCTATAATGTGCATTGTGAGTAGAGAGCATTGTGGGATTGAAAAGTAGTTCATACCGTTCGGGTCGACTCGACCACCTGTAACGGTCGTCCTGCGACCTGCCCTGCTGGCAAGCGCATTTATATTTCTGGGAGCAAGATTAAAGCGGGGGTCTTCATCGAGGGGACGAGGGTTTCTTTCTGGTCTTGCCTGAGGTTTGGGCTTCTTGCCTTTGCCATTGCGCGGGCGTTCAGAACTCTGGGAGGACTGGCCAGCGGCATCGCGCTCTCTATACGGCGAGATAGCATTAGCTGCGTCCGTATCTCTTTGGGGAGCCATAGGTAAAGTCAGAAGAGAAGAACCGTCTTAAAGAAACATGCGGCGACCACGAATAGACAGCATTGCAGGCTTTGCCAGTATTTGGTTCCATCCAGGCTCCGCTAGCTCTTTGCAGGTGCCCAGGTAGAAATATCTGTTAAGATAAATAACACGAGTCCATTTATCATCCGAAGTCCATAGCAAGTAAATTGGGGTGCAAAGGCAACCTCATGAATCTGATGGGAACGAGCGAGCTCTATTTGCCGTCTATTGTTTCTACAACGTGTTGGCAAACATTAGCCCCTATCCCTGAATGCTTTGCCTAGGTTGACATGCGTATATGCAAGTCCCCTGCTGAAATACACATAAAATCTGGAAATACAGTTTTATTAAAGACTGACCGCGCAGAAGAGCAGAGGTGCTACCTTTTGGTTTGTAAAGATGACCCACGACAGCGGTTTATTCTAGGTCATGCTGCCTTCTCCGTCCTACTCAAATTAACGAGTGTCCGATGAAGGTGCTTGGCCAGACCCTCAGTGAGCTGAAGAACACCATCCTGAGTGCAAATCCGATATGATGGCATAGCTTGGTACGTCTCCGGTATGATCTGGACGAATATGAGCTACATGAGACAGATGCCTAACACGAGGAGAGATGATATCATCATACCTTGCCTGACCGGACGAGGACTGAACCAATAATGTCGTCAGGATCACCTATACGGCCGAGAGCGGGTATGTTCCGCTGGTCTAAAAAACTGCATGTAAATCAAGTCATCATTTTCTTTTCCAACTACGATCCATACCGTTGATGTGCATCCAACCTTCCTCCACACCCATCGCTGTGTCTTTCCAAATTTCGTCAATACCATCCCTCAGAGACTCCGCAATACTTTTATGAAGTATCGGTAAGAATTTGGCTGAATGTTTAGAACCTTAGTAACGGTAAGTTAATGTGATGCAAAGGAGGAGACTGACGATTCGGGACGAAATCCTGTAAGGTTGCCTGTGTTTCACGCTGTGCGGTATTTTCTGGTCCTAGCTCGTCTGGTGTATCTGTGACGTAGGTCTGCGCAGGAAGCCATCCAATAACGGTGCTTGAGTCAGCACTTGGGGGTGTGGTACCCAGAAATGAGAGTGCGAAAACAGGTAAAGTTGATGACAGTGGCGTTGGTGGATTGACAAAGTGATAGTATAGATCTGGCCTATTAGGGTCAGGGAAGACTATATCTGTCGTTTGCGTTGAATAAAGCCTGTGTTTTGGTCCCGAAACCTGTGAAGCATGAGCAAGACTTCTAGTAAGGTGGTGCGGAACCATCCGGGACATTGAAGGTTGCCAGCGCGTCAGAAGCAGACTAGATGTCGACAAAGACCTCCTGTAGCCATTGATTGCCATGTTTTTATGGCCTCCATACCGTACAAGTCTTTGGACCACGGATGTCATGTTAGAATTAAGCAGCAAAAGACTGTCTCATTGTCCAAATTCGTCCCCTAAGCGTAGCTCTGTTCACGTGATGGCGATGACGGTGCCATTGGTCCGAACTCCGGTGATGGCTAACGAGCGCTCTCCATGTTGAGCTCATTGGATGTAGCTTTGAATTTGTTCACCACTAAGAAGAGAAGAGCTTACTCGCGTCGTCGGTGCGTCAGTCGAGTAAGATAGCAGTTTTACAGGAACAAACTGTACCTACGATAACGACATGCTAAGCAATGCTGCCCACGTCCTCAGGGTTGAATCCACCTTTTTTGCAAATGCAATAATTGTTAAGCGCTCGTGCGTGAAGCAAATGGTTTAAACATTTGCTTTTACTGAGCTTTTCGAGTCGAGACGTGTTGCATACATGACATTATGCTGTCGAAAGAACGCAAAAACATGTGCCCCATGGCCCAGCTGGTTAAGGCGTCCGACTGTTAAGATTCGATATCCATCAGAAATAATAGGCGACTCGGAGGTATTCAGCACTATCGGGAGATCGAGAGTTCGATCCTCTCTGGGGCAGTATTTTGTTTCGATGATGTTATTTTTCTTGACGCAGTCATCTTTTGAAAATGATAGGCACGAGACCGTACTCAAAAGGTGGAGGACGACTCTGACAAGGCCTCATGCAATATCCATATAGCTCTGTAGTCTCAAGTAATTCGAAGGATTGGAAAGGCATTACGAATAGACGTGCGGCAACATGAATGTATAGGTTGAGATTTCTCTTGTTTGTGGTAGGTCATTTGTTGTTGTACAAATTGGACATACATTGTGGTATTTACGGAGACCAGGTGTAACCTATTTAAGAGGCAGTCAGGGTGATAACAGTGAAACTCAAAGCAGGAGCATTGTAGGTGAAGCTCTTTCCGGTTGAAATAGTAGAAGTAACTGGGTGAACGGCATTGGGACTGCTAGGGGTGTTGGCAGCAGCAGCAGATCCGCTCAGGACCTCAGCTGTACCAGTCGAAGAAATAGTGTTGAAGGGAAGATTGAAGGTCAAAGATTCGCCGTTTGAGGCGTTGTTAGCAATCTGAGTGAGGGTGTGTCAGAGTAGACAAACTGGCGCTGGTTCAATGCCATACCTTGATGATGATCTGGTTTCCAGAGTTCTTGCGAACGACGGACCAGTGGAGAGTGCCACCCTTAGTCGGGAGGGTGCTGGGTAGATAGGAATCACCACGGTTGACCGAGAACATCTTTTGTACGTAGTAACTGGTAGAGAAGTAGACCGTGTTGGCGCTTCAAAAACGATTAATTTCAACTATCAAGGAATTGCTGATGGTGATAGCACATACTCGTGGGCCAAAAGGTTGGGGGTCTTTGTTCACAGTGTGAGCAAAAGGATTAAGCAGTGTTAAAAATGTTCTCCTACCCATTGGTGGTTGGTTGCGTGCTTGGAGTTACCCCAGGTCAACTAAATTTCTTGCAATTGAATGTCTGTACTCACCCCGATGAGAGGAGCGTATGCAGCAGCGAACCTATTGGCATATCAGCAACGTCTGTAGGATGGCACAAACAAGATGAATACGCACACAATATCACTGTTACGCTCCAAACCAGTCATGTAGGAGGCCTCTCCGACAGCGGCTGAGATATGCTTATCAGTGGCCTACGCGAAAAGTAGCCTTGATCATAGCAAGACGCACAAGCGATGTTAGGGTAGGTCAGTCGGTTGTTCCAAATATCATTCGGAACAACTGAGATAGCTGCGTATTCACCCTCGAAGAACATAGTGCCGTCTCTCTAGGGAAGATTGAGGAGTCGACTATTAGTTTAGACAAAGGGGTACCTACAGCGTAGCTGTCGTATTGGTGGGCGTTCTGGTAGAACCAATCTGTTCAAGCAATTAATTATAAGGCTACTTCTCAAAATGGACACAATATTTGACATACTAGGAGATTGGTAAACGTGGTTGTCCCAGTACTTGGGGTTTGGCGACAGGATGGGGTTGTTCTGATAGCTCGTCGCGATATATTCTGTGGGGTAAATATATTTGTTTAGATCCGGTAAGAATATACTAGATAGACTTACTGAGGTTGGGGAAAGTAGCTGTAAGAGTGTTATAGAAGTTCTTCCAGCGATATGTGTAGCTAGGATAATGCTCCGTTAAAAGATTGGTTAGGCTCTAATATCAAACGACTTACGTGCTAGGAGCAGAGCCAATGAAGTCCTGGTCATGTAAATATCAGTATTATAGGTCACATTTCGAAAAAAGAGATATCTGACTTCGTTTCCAATTTCGACATATTGCAGTTTGAAAGGCTCAGGATGTCCGAGAGCAGCACGACGTGCAGCTGAAGCAACGGTTAGAATAGTAGGTTGACCACATCTGACATGTGCACTCACCGAACGAATTCTTGGATGCGTCTCCAATGACGAAGTTGATTAGGTCGACGGCCTCCTGGACGTAAGGTCCAAGCTGGTTCTCGGGAACTGAAGATCCAGATAGACCATAGCCAGCCCAAACACCAAGGATAGGTTCCATGTTGAGGTCCTCGCACCAAAGAAGGTGTTCATAAAGTCCAAGACCACTACAAAGTTGTCGGTCAGAACGACAAACCAACGATCACTACAGCCCGGCGTACTCAGTGTTGGTGTAGCTCCATGTACCAGGGCGACCGGGGCGCGTTTCCAAAGGACCAATCTTGACAGAATACATGATTCGAAATTTCTGAAAACCAAGATATAAGTACCCACTGTAGCATTCCAAATCCAACGTGTTGCTGCATTGTCTCCTTCAAGGTTGTTGCCACCTGGGAAACGCCAGAATGAGGGCTTGAGGTCAGCAAGCGCCTGGGGAGAAACGTCGTATCAGCAGCCTTTCACATTTTGAGCAGGGGAAGAGCACACCTGAGCAAGATCTTGGCGCATTCCATTGGCGCGTCCCTTGAACGTAGGTGGGAAGAGCGAGAACATGTTAAAGTTGAATGTCAGGCCAGAGTTGGAAGCACCATCGACTGTGAAAGCGAGAACATTGTTGGTATCCGATGCCGAAGACGAAGGGGTGATCGACAATTCAACTTTAGTCCAAGAGGTTTGGCTGCCTGATAATGTGGCTGTCGCTGAACCAAAGGCTTGGCCAGAGTTGGAGCGCAAGCTAACAGTGACAACTGAGTTGGTAGAACGAGCACTTGGGACCCTGTAGAAGAACGAAGTCTTGTAGGTAGTTCCGGCAGTAACCTTGATTCCAGAGAACCCAGAGTTGGAGAATCCAACTCCTCCAGTCTTGCCTGAAGGAACGACGAGGCGGAGTGAATTTGGGAGAGCAGATGACAACGCAGGAGTATCAGCATTGACGGAAATTGTTGCACCGTTGATGGCGGCCCAGTTGCTCAAAGCAGCACTTGTTCCTATTGGGTAATTGAAGCCCAATAAACACAAGCAGTAGGCAGACGAACTAACCAGGCGTGACCTTTTGGAAGGCCCTGTTTTTAAGGACTGGTGACAAGCCGATCAAACAAAGATCTTAACTGGAGGAATACGGACGCTTACGCTCGGCATAAAGGCCACCATCTCCGCTCTTGTCGAAAGTCAGTTGAGAAATTTATTAAAACAACTTGAAGTCCATACATACTACAAGCCATCTAGGTCAGCGATCTATCGAACTAAAAGCAGGTGCAACACATACGCTAATATCCTATTCGCAACACGACGCAAGCCTATGTTCAGCATATTTCCAAGGCTTCGATTGAAGCGAAAAAACGCGTACTTCAAACATCAAACCCCCTATGCAATCATCAGAAAGGATAAGAGCATAAATTTTAAAGACTCACATAGCGTAGATGGGATAGGATGGTGTGGCGTAGATTGTACAGTAACAGTAACAGCCATGACTGTCTGGACAAGCCCGACGGCCAAAGAGGCCAAGAGAAGAAGATGTCGCATTCTCACCCTACAAAATTAGATCCTGATTCTTCCAATGTGGGAGAGTGAACGAAACGGTGAAAGAAAAAGTTCATGTTTCTTATACCCTAACTCCCATCTTCGAAGCGTCATCGGTGCACGCTACACATGTAACTGTGAAGAACCTGCGAAAATCGTCGCTTTCTTGAGGTATGAAGAAACTGAGAAGAATGATTTCTGACGAACCCTTTCAGCTAAACATAGGTTTATTCTATGCATAAACTTAGCCACTTGAGGTTTGCTGTCGGTGCACGTGCACTACGGCGTCGAGTGAGAGAAGTCTAAGTGCTCAAGAAGCGAGGCATCCACATCTTGTCCTACGTCTGGAATACACCTAAATATCAGCGGGCCGGGGCTAACGTTCATCTGACTTGCGTATAGCCGGGCCTTCGAAGGAAGGAAGATCCCGCCTATGACCAGGGGAAGTCATGACCATGAAGTGTGAAGCGCTCGATGAGGTTTCTAGTTCTCATAACGACGAAAGTACGATGCATTTGAGGACTGGCTGCGTGCACAAAGTCTTAGACTCTGGTTTCAAGGGAAGCAGGCCACTATGCTTGTTATTAATCTCAACAGTGGAGGTCAGATGAATCCACACCCGAGGCAACAGAAGAAAGGACACCACCTCAGCGACTTCGAAAGTTCAACGGGTGCTGTTCTAGGATAATATAGGAACGGGCTACAACAAGAGTGCACGGATGCAAGAGCGTTGGCATTTAAAGTAAAGCTTGATCATTCCCCTGTGTGTCAGCGAACACCTCCATGTAGAGGTCTGCTCTTAAAATAATTTTAAATGATAGGGCGACACGTCTAAGACACTGGATCTAGCAAAAGGAATGATCAACTCAACAGCATAAGCAAAGATATAATCATATACTCACCTCAAGTCAAATGTCGACAGGCAATGGGTCACTATGTCAAACAGCGCATGAATGCAAGAAGGAACATGATGCGTAAAGTCATGAAGAGGAAGCCAATGCCTAAAACAACACAATAGACAAAAATACAGACCATGTGGCGTAAATTATTCAAATGACCAGCTGTCGAAATTAGGGGCGATCAAGGATGTGACAAAACGAGAAAAAGAAAATATTCGACATCGTTAAAGATATTAACTATAGATGACAAAGGTCAAACCGCCATAGGTCGGTTCCCAATGTATTGCATATCGTTATGTCTAGGTCGCCATCTGCAAGGAATAAAAAGCAGTAATCCTACCGCTTCTTCCTCGTCCCGCCAGTTTTCGTAGATTTCCTACCCTTTGCGACAGGCTGCTCGGGTGATCCGCCATTGACGCTCCCTGTCGTCGTCAATCTCGACGATCTCCTCCTCGTCTGAATACCCTCCATCTCATCTGTTGTATCCACAGAAGCAGCGCTTCTCGACTTCCTAACACCTCTCTTCGGCGCCGAAGCCGTAACAGGAGGGGGAGAAGGAGCACGCAAAGGTGCAACCTGGTCCTCCTCCTCACCGTCTTCATCCCCACCCCCAATATCATCTTCGTCCATCAAGCCTCCTGGGATACTCCTCGACACAGGCTTCTTCGATTGCCTGGCTTTCTTTGCCGGCGGTTTTTCTGTGGCTTGGGATTTGGCACTGGCCGCAGCAGCCGCTTTA